TTTTTTTTTTTTTTTTTTTTTTTTTAAATTTAAAACAACCCCCTAACAACAAGCATGCCTTCTCCTGCAGTGTACACACCTATGCCTAATGCCTGCAGTTGGCCAATTTAACTCAAATAATTGTAATTGGAGTTTAAATTTAGAAGCAGGTGACTTGTGTTTAATTATTAAATGGTTTTCCCTGCCTGGACCTATCATGTCCCGAGAACTTCCTGTGAATTGGCTGGGCACTGAGGGCCGGGTCCCAAACCCACTGAGGTCAACAGAAAGACTCCCCTTGACTTAGATCAGTTTCTAACTCTATTCTATGCTAGCAATAAAAAGGCTTTGAGAGAATAACACTGTCATAAACAACATGCTTGTAAGCACTTAAAAATAATTAAATGCGAGATGGTTGCTTTTATTTTTGGAATTAAAAAGCCACTGGTGGTTAAAAGTACAAAGCCTAGAAGTAGAACACAACTAGGTGTTGAGGTTTTGAATCCAGAAACACAGAGGGCCCTGAGATGAGGGAGGATGTGGTCACCTCGCTTAGCAAGGGAAGAGAAAGTGGTTCAGTTCCAGGAAGAGAAGAGGCCAATGTTGACAGCAGCCAGGCACCACAACTTCCACGAGCCTTGACTCAGACATCAGGCCAACATTATGGTATAAGGGAAGTAAGGTTTTCAGGTCCTATGTGAAGTCTCATGGATCCTCTACTTTCTCCAAAAGCATCTGGGTGAAGAGTGGGTGGGACCTAGAGTTCTACTTGCCCTACTCCCTAATGTGCTGTGATGCTGCTCAGACATTATTGGGATAAGGCAAGTGGATTCATGTCAGCAGCATATGACTCCCCTCCCCCTCTTGCCCTGAACACAGGAGATGCAGCGAGTGGAACAGGACTTCCCAGAAGACAAATTCTTTCCCTGTGCTGCTTCTGGGACCCTACAGCTATTTGCCACCTCAAAGGGCTGTGGTACAGGCACAATCTAGCCCCTGATGAGAGCCAAGTTAAACATCAGTTTCCTTCCACTATCTCCCCTATCCCAGAAAGGTCTTTGTTTCCTAAAGAACAGCACTGTGACACTGCTTCATATCTACAGTCCTTACATATTATGATCTTGGCAGCATTTATCCATGACCTTCTCTAATTCTTTATTAACCAGCCATTTCCCCCTTTTTGGCTTTTCTTTGTGCCATACATTCTTGTGAAGAAAATCTTCTACGGCAAACTATCAAATGGAGTACGCTCTCGCAGCGCACCAAAGAAGTGGTACAAGGACACCCTAAAGTTGTCCCTAAAGAGTTTCGGCATTGACCTGGAGTCATGAGTGCAAATCGCTCATGACCATCCATCCTGGAGGTCATCCATCCAGAATGGAGCACTGGTCTTCGAACAGCAACGCATGGCAGAAGCAGTAAAGAAACGCGTGGCCAGGAAAATGAAAACCTCTCGTACCCAGTCAACATTGCTTTTCTGCCCCTGCTGCAGCAGGCTGTTCAAGGCAAAGATTAGGCTTATAAATTGCCTACGTACCCCTGCAACGTAGCCGTTGCCCTCCTCCTTTCTCTTTCCTCCTTTTTTTCTTCTTTTCTCCCTCCCCGTTTCTTTCCCATTTCTTTTCTCTCCGTCTCCCCCCGCCCCCGCTGGATGTGGTAGTCTTCACCCACAGTGTGGGCAGCGGGGTTCCACAGGGCTCGGTCCTCGGGCCCGCACTGTTCAACATCTTCATCAGTGACTTGGATGAGGGGGTAAAAAGCACCCTGTTCAAATTTGCTGATGACACTAAGATGTGGGTGGATGTGGGCACATAAGAAGGAAGGAATAGGCTACAATTGGACCTAGACAGGTTACAGGGGTGGGCGGATGAGAATAAGATGGGATTCAACACCCTAGGTGCAGCACCTTGCACTTGCTGGAGGAAGAACTAGGGAGGAAGAACAAGCACCATACCTACAGGTTGGGGAACTCCCTTCTCCTCAGTGCAGAGGCAGAAAAGGATCTTGGAGTCATCATTGATGAACATGGGCCGGCAGCGTGGGGTGCAGTCAGGAAGGCCAATCACACCTTGTCGTGCATCCACAGATGCATCTCAAGCAGGTCCAGAGAGGTGATCCTCCCCCTCCGTGTGGCACTGGTCAGGCCGCAGTTGGAGTACTGCGTCCAGTTCTGGGTGCTGCACTTCAAGAGGGATGTGGACAACATGGAGAGGGTCCAGAGGAGGGCCACTTGCATGATCAGAGGGCAGCAGGGCAGGCCCTACGAAGACAGGCTACAGGACCTGGACCTGTTCAGCCTCCACAAGAGAAGGCTGAGAGGGGATCTAGTGGCCTGTTACAAACTAATCAGAGGGGACCAGCAGGCATTGGGAGAGTCCCTGTTCCCCCGAGCACTACCAGGAGTGACTAGTAATAATAACAACACAGTCACAAGCTGGCAGAGGGTAAATTCAGACTAGACACCAGGAGGCGCTACTTCACTGTCAGGGCGGCTAGGGTCTGGAACCAACTTCCAAGGTAAGTGGTGCTGGCTCCTACCCTGGGTGTCTTTAAGACAAGGCTTGACAATCACCTTGCTGGGATCATTTGACCCCAGCATCCTTTCCTGCCATGGCAGGGGGTCGGACTTGATGATCTGCTCAGGTCCCTTCCGACCCTACCTACTACGAAAACTATGAAAGGCCAACAACATGTTCTTGTGAGGTTCTAAGCTACCATGACTCTTGGCTTAGTGATCCTCTTCACAGCTGTAGGTTGTAACTGTTAGACCCTGGTTACCCTAACAGTAACTAATTTAGCCTCTTTTTACAGCAAACTCTCCATAGCATCTCTCTGAAAAGTGCATGAAGGCAGCTGACAGACCCACAATATGCTCCAAGCAGCACAGTTTTCTATTCCCACATAGAGAAAGCATACGTATTCCTTCTGTCCAAAGAAATACATGTGCTCCAGGTGATACTACTGCCAGTTCAAGTGACAAATTCATGATAAAAATAACCAAGGGCCTCATCCTGTTCAGAAACAGGAACAAGTCCTCCCTCCTCCGTTCAGTCCCCCCTCGCCCCCAGACAATAACAAGTGTAAACCTGGCCCTGAATGTGACAGAACACTGACCACATATTTGAGGAGCTGAGGTCAGGAAACCCCTCCCAGAGCCAGATCTTTGGATCTGAAAGACTACCGTCTTGGAGAACTTCCATCAACCTTCTAATACGTAGGATGGTTGCCATGGCTTTGCATTTACGCATGAAGAGGACCAAAAGGTGAAGAATTATGTCCCAAGGAACCATCATATTGGTACAGCCTGATCATAACCATGAACAGACTTTTGTGCTGTACTCCGACATAATCCTATGCAATTGAAAAGCTGTTGTAACTGTGGAGCTAACAGCTGTATTTACTTAATTAAATTCCTAAAGTAATTCACACATTTCATGTCCTTTCAAAGCCCTTTGCTGGGGGCCGACACCTCAGAGCACCACCTAAAATACTTTCTAAGAAAAGAAAGAAGAAAGCTGCTATTACTGTCTCAGCATTTGACATACCTGCCTTTTTTTTTAATTTTACAAATTAGAAGCTTTAAGAACAATAAAGGACAAAAAAAAAAAAAAATGATAATTGTTTTTGTTTAAAAGGGCAATATCTGTTTGTAAATCATGGTCTGTCTTACAAGTCTGTACCTCTTAGAGTTCCAGTAATACCCTCAGGTTACTGGAATTGAAAGGGGCTAGTGCCGGGGGGATTCTCTGTATTTTCTGTCTGTTTATGCATTTAACAGGAATTTGTGAACAGTCAGTTTCTCTGTTCCCCTTCCATAGGTAGTCATTTTTCCCCACACTGAAAGACCCTTCTAACATCAGAGAAGCAGAAAACTCTTAATGATTCTTTTACAGGAATTTTTTATTGGCAGGAAATGCTATTTAAATAATGCTGCATCAGAAGGTAATTTCTTAAATTAGTGGCATAAAAAATTCAAGTAGACAGTGTTCCCTTAATTCTGCCATCAGGGTGCCAAGTCACCTTTGGGAAAATGTGCTTTACCAACTAAGGACACCTTTCAATAGATATGTCCTTGGGCACAGAAATTTGAATTAATTACAACATGTGTGTGTACATCTTGTGTATGTGACTGCACTGCAATAGAGTGAGCTTCAGCCATGTGCTAAGACTAAATACAGCAATGTTTGTCTGTAGTAATTATGCGCCATCAAAAACTGAAGTAGTTATTAAATCAGTGGTTTCCAGCCACAGCTAGGGATTCAAATGCGGGTCTGCAAAATTCCCACTGACTTCAGTAGGGCTGGGACTTCATCCTAGGACTTTGGCTTTTGTGGCTAGTGATCCAGGCAAGCCCTCACTCCTTCAGTTTACAGTGCTCAAAGTTTGATTTAAAAATCACCCGTTTTGAATCAAGATTCAAATGAGAAAGTAAGACATTTTTATTGAAATGCTCACTTTTTAATCTGGTTTTACATCTGTGCTTTTTAGTAATTTCCCTAAGAAAGCAGATTCTCATTTGTTGTGATATGTTAGTCCTACTTATTTATATCCCATTGATTAGCTAAATCTGCATATGTGGATTTCATATAAATGAATATATAACTGTTCAGATTCTTAATCCTTGCATTTTAAAGTTAGATAGTGATGGATGACTTTTTTTATTTGCCAGACGAGGATTAAATTTTTACTTGCGGTTAATATAAAACTGCTTTTGGATAGATATTGGGAACTGGCTTAAAATGCCTGTCATCATCATTTAGAAATGGCTTGTTAGTTAAATAAGGCTACTTTGTGTGTGCTGGCTATGCAAAAAAGGCAGTTTATCAAAATATATTTTGCTTTTAAAATTCATTGACTTTTCTAGACAAAGGAAATACTAGTGATTTTTAAAAAAAAATTTAAATGATTGCTGTGTGTCACCACATCCTTCAAGACCTTACCATGTATAGATCTCATTTACACCCTGCTTTTATACAAAGACTGGAAAAGGACAGCAAACTTTCCTCCTATTTTAACTCCCACATAGGGACTCTTAACTCTAAATGAACATCGAACTAAACTTAAGTAAATTGAAATGAAGAGAATATTCTTTCTACACCTGCAGAAGAGCTTATTGCTGTTCAAAATGTATTTAACACTTGAATAATCTCTGGGTTCCTGGCTAGTGAATTCCCCCAGTTCAGTTGTCTGATATTATTTAAAACTCTGGTAGCAGACACTGGTTGCTTGAGTATTACTTTTTATTTAATTTAAATGATCCTGCTCCAGTGGATTGGAGCTGGCCATGTCTCATTCGGTTTGCATACTAAAACCAAATGCCAGTATGCATTTTTGCAGAAACTGTTTTCAGTCTACTACCAAAGAATGTTACATCTGTAGACTCCAGTTAGTGACAGATTCTGAAACTTCAGACTTGTGTTGTCAGTGATAGAGGCAAACCCTTACTGCCCTTAACAATGACCCTCTGTCTTGGTCACCCTATGTCATTGCTGCCCACTGCCCATTCATTGTCTGACTCTAGCCCACAACAGAGACCCAAGATTTTCAATTACAAAACTTAAATCTAAATCATTATACTGTGTATGAAATATACATAATGGAACAGCAGGCAGGGAGAACTGGCCGATATAATCATGGCTTTTGTTCAGTGCAGTTTCACCAGAAGAAAACAGCAAGTGTCATTATGCCATTTATAAATCCATGGTGCTTTCACCCCTGTGACTAGTTCTGGTCCCCACACCTCAACAAGGAGCTAGAAGAACTAGAGAAGATCCAGAGAAGAACCACGAGGATGATTAGTGGTATGGAGTGGCTTCCATGAGGGGAGACCAGAGAGGCCTTTTCCACTTAGAAAGACATGCTTGAGGGTGGACAACATAGGAAGGGTTTACAAAGTACCAGATGGTGAAGGGCAAGGAAATAGGGATTTATTATTTACTGTCTTTTACAATACAAGAATTAGGGGTCATAAAATGAAGCCAGTAAGTGTAAAACTAATAAAAGGAGAGTGTTAAAGTATGGAACTCATGTGGCAAGAAGTTGTGGAAGTTGACAATGTAGCCAGATTAAAAAAAAGGGGGCAAATTCTTGCAGGAAAGGGGCATCAGTAGCAATTAAGCATGGGAGTTTGGGGTACAGTCTCCGAGTCAGAACTTCCTAAACCTTAAGTGCTAGAGGTTGCAAGTGACAGAGGAACAATGGAAAAAAAACTCTGGTCAGACCCTGTTCACTCTCCCTTTCAGCCTCCAGTCTCTGCCATTGTGTAACAGAGGATACTGGGTAAGATGGTTTGACCCAGTAAATGGCAGTTCTTATTTTCTTATGTTCTAAAGGGAGTTTGTGCACTAAAACGTCTATTTATTCATACAGCTTCATTTAAGTCCAGAAGTAGTTAAAGCTATGACTTCTGTTTTCCTTCTTGTTGATATCATAATCCAAGTGGAGGTCAACTACAAGGCCAGGCAGAGATAGTGGTATATTTTAAGATTAGTGGTGGTGTATTTTAAGACTCACAAATCTAAAAATGTTATCATGTTTACAGAAGATGTTGCCAAATGGGATTAAAAAGAAAAAAAACATTACCATAGGATGAACTGTTGAAGAGTTCAATATTGAAGAAAACGTAGTCTCCGTTGGTCATTCCTTGACGATGAGCTGCTAACATGATGTTCCTTATTGTATCACCACTGGCACACATTATTACAACTGGTGGAGGAAAGTGGAAAACAGAGATAAGAAGCTGTTCTTGAAACCTATGGGAACAGACTGTTAAGCGTGTGCATTGCCAGAGACAGTGACCTGAACTGTCCTCCCAACATTTTTAGAAACATGACAACAGAATGAACAAATAAAGCTGGGATTTTCAAAGAAGGCTATGGGAGGTAGGCATCTACTTCACACTGAGAGCCATATGGCCCTTACACCTCTTTGAAAAACACAAGTATTAAGACCAAATGTTATCTTATTTTTTACTTTGTGTGATGAGTTTCATTTATTTGTGTAATTTCATAACTTGTATTGCAACAATAAAACATTATTATTGCTTTAAAGTTTATATACAATTATCTCAAGGTAATCTCAAGATTAAGAAATGAAATGGTATCATTCTAAATTTCCTTTTGCAGAGTTCTTTGACATGGAGAAACAATTTATTACAAGTTTCAAGGTCTCATTTTGTAATGACCCAGAAGTCAAATACAAACTCTTATCTGCTAAAACGTGAACTGCCGTAGCCTGATTCAAAGATGCTCTGTCCAGTCACCCAGGCCCACACTAGCAGATCACATTCCCAGAGGCCAGCCTTGTTAAGACCTGAGAGCTACTTTCCAAGCAAAATTGTATTACTTCAAAATTTAAATGCAGAGATGCACTTAGCATTCTGTTTTGCACCACTTGCTGGAGAAGTGCTGCAGTGTGTAGTCACTATATGTCAAAGTGGGTATTTCACTTTTTACAACTGTAATACTTGTGAGAGGCCTTTTAAAAATATTTTCTAGCTTCTCTCCTCATTCACATGTACTATTAAATTATTGTCCTGAAAGTGAAATCAAAGTTATTCCCACAGCACCAGTTAATGATCTTGATTAAAAGGAATGACTATGAGTGGGAAAAAATTCTGCTTTAAAATGTGTTGATAAGTCATAGTTTGAGAGCAGCAAAAGGAATGCCAGGGAACTAACAGCTATTTGGATGTGGTTTGAGCACAGCAGGAAAACATCAGCAACAAAAATGATATTTAGTGTGTATAAGAAATACACCCATACTTTCTAAAGACAATTAGACTGCATGCGAATCTCTTCTGTAAGCTTTCAAACATGTACATTACATTTACTTGGCTGCAAGTATAACTTACTAGTATATACAGTTTAATTGGTGCAAAGCATATGTAGCAAAATAGGTTCAGCATCAATATTTTTAATACATGGGCTAAAGCTCTGAACCTGGAAGGACCGTATATAGTGCTTCACTCCACAAATGTGAGTAAGCTCAATGAAGTTATTAGGGCTGTTTCTGTACTGAAATTAGACATGTGCATAAATGTTTGCAATACTGGTGTTTTGGCCAGCATTATTAACTGGGGCCAGTTTGCACTCACAAGGCCAATTTAACAAAACTCAGCAGTGAGCTTTGTTGAACTAATCACTGAAAGCTTTGGCAAGCTGAGTTGGTCTTGGAAATCATAAATAAAAAGACCATGTTTTGTATGAAACATTCATTTTTCTTCATCATTTTGTGTTACTTGAAGGTTTGGTAGGTTCATTTTGAATGTTCAGATTCATAGTTTCTTTCTTAAAGTACAGCTTTTCAAAGTCATTATACTGCTGTAGTTCTCCTGTCGAAGTGTGTGTGTGCGATGTATAGAACACAAGAAGAGATTAGAAGTTCAACTGATTTCTTTTGCTACAGTTAAACCTTTTCTTTTCTTATTGTAAATGAAGTGTTATGCTTTCAAGCATTAAGAAAACCAAGCAGTTGTAAAACTTACATTAATTAAAAATGGATCTTTTCCCTTGCTTGTCTGTTCTCCCTGGCTGCAATTTGTTGCATTTAATTCATTTAGGAAAGTCACTAAGCAGCTCCTCAATTTTAAGCTTCTACATAAATGCTTTCCTGAATGGAGCAAGAAAGATCCATCAGTTGGTACTGTATTGTAATTCACTTATTTACGGCCCTGCACATCTGAAAGAAATTGGTACCAGTGTTACTACACTACCACTACAAAGCCCTAATGCAGACATATGGCATGATGTCTAGCTAACTGCCCGAGTTAAATGAAACATGGTGTTTATCTGGACTGGAAAGAAAACATTTTTTCTTAATATGGTGGTATTTTTCTGGATATTTAAAAATAATTTTAAATGTACATCTCCAGTGAGACTTAGGGTAAATTTTATTGCGACCAATATCCGTTTAGTGCCTCCTTCAAATAGTTCTCTTTTTTTCCTTTTAAAAAGGTATTTTAAAAAAAGAAGCAGCAGCTTAGTATTGCTGGTACCAGAAAATTATCATCAGTTGGCATGCTTGTGAACCTGTGCTGCAATTAATAAACTTTTAATTTGGGAGTACAGTTAGTCAAGTGTATTTAAAACATGTAGATTGTTCCAATATAGTTTCAAGCATTTTACTGATATAGGATACACCCAACAAGCATTTTACTGATATAGGATACATCCAATCTAGAAATGATTTCTCAAGACATTTTGCAAGTTATTTACCTCTCTGTTGTTTTGCTGTCAGTTGGTGGCACTATTTCTGTGCACAGGGAAGAGCTTGTACTTCATATGCTTCCCTGTTAACTGCTTCCCAAAAATGTTCTTGTTATTTACGCAGTTCTTAAGGGGTCTGCTGAATGGGAGGAGGGAAGGGACCTCCTTAGTAAGACTCAGCAGGGTAAAAGGAAAAGGTCTTCGCTCAGCTTTAGAACATTTGCAGAGTCACTAAAAAACCCCTGCAGAATAAGCAACAGATTTGCTGTCCAGTCCAAAAATCTGCCTTTGGGCAGATGCATGTTTTCAGTCTTGTTGGCAAAGCAGCTCTTTTCAAGTAAACTGATTTCTACTATAATACAAAATACTACCATCATTACAAAGGATGAAATTCTAGCCCCACTGGAGTGAATGGCAACATTTCAACTGACTTGAGCGGAGCCAGGAATTCACCCAGTGTTTGGTCCTGCTCCCATTGAAGTCAGTGAGAATTGCCATTAGGCTCAACTGAGGTGGAGTCATGTCTTAACTTTTCCAGAGGCAAGCAAAATATATCCCCTCTCAGCTGTCTTTTCCTAGTGCCTCTACGGTCTCCCTCCTACCTGCTTCTCTCTCTGCTCCTGAGAGAGAAAGGAAACATGCATTTCCGTGTGCATTTCCCTACAAGTTCTGAGCACCTGAAACAAAAAGTGTATTCAAGTCTCTGGGTCACTGCCGTGCTCAAATACATCATAAAAGCCTGTGTGCTTTTTACTGACACTTAAATTCATTGATGACTGGGTCCTATAAGATTGGGTTTATAGTATTTAATGTTATCGTGCGCACCCACACCTACAGTATATAGGATTGGAATCCATCAGGACACTGGTGGTGTGTAAGAATGAGTCTTTGCTGAATACCCACTGACCCAGAAGAGCAGAAATTGGCCCTTTGTGATGACCCTTGGAGGCCACCCATATGCAAGGAGCAAGGCAACAGAATTGGTTCAAAACTTCTCCAGGGTGGGCATGTGCCCCCTGCCCCCCTTTACTAGCTGAACTGATGCAGCCTAAAAGGCAGCTGTGTAGTACCTGGGGAGAAAAGCTTCTCCATGCAAATACAAACAGGAGACAACACAAAAGAGCCATGGTGGGTCCTGGGAGAGGTCACTTGAAAGCACTGCCTGGGACACAGCAGCAGAGCGGTGGGAACAAGGACAGCAGCCTGGATGAGTCTCCGTTTGGCATCTCCGGTGACAAGTTGTGCAGGTCTGAAGGTGTCAGGGTTGGGAGGGGGCACCAGCATTGCTGTCCCACCCCTGCCAGAACATGAGGAAATCCTCCAAGGCAGAGGGTCTCAAACTCATCTGCAAACCACCCTGGTCCACGAGCTCTATTCAGGCGGCCTGCAGAAAGGCAACCTAAGGCTAATGCTGACGAACATTATACCTGACTTCCCAGAATTTTGCTTAAGAAAACAAGCACATCCATCACATTAGAAAGGTAAGACTATGGATATTAAAGTGTGCACTTTGCTTTGTAGAACAAAAAAAAGTCTATTCAGTAGTCTGCCAAGACCCTCAACAATTTTCAAGTGGTCCACCGGGGAGGGGGGGGAATAAGTTTGAGAACCACCTCTCTAAGGATCTTCTTCGGGATCCTCCAAAAGAAGTCACCATGCGGAGGAGCCGCTGGCAGCACTAGGGTGGATGTCCTCTCTTGATATGAAACCCCATGCCTTTATGTCCTCTATTTTTTTCTTCAAGAGTATAGCATGCACCCTAGGTGTTAAATGCTACAAACCGGATCTTATAGGACCCAGTCATCACTTGATGACCTGAAGAGGAAAACAGAGGACCCAGAGGCGCGGGGTTTCGGGTCAACAGAGGACAGCGCAGCGGAGCACCGCACTGTCCTCTGTGGCGGCCGCCTCACCCGCAGGGCGCCCCCACCCCCGCCCAGGTGCGGCCCGGCCGCCGGGCGCGCCCTCACCTCTGTCGGCCGCCTGCAGGGAGCGCACCAGGTCGTCGGGGTCGAGGGCGCGGCCGCGCTCGTCGAAGCTGTGCGCGGCCAGCTGGACGGCGGCGTCGTCCTGGAAGGCGGCGTGCACGCCGTCCATGGCGAAGTAGCAGTCGCGCTCCTGCGCGTCGTCGGCGTAGAGCAGCGCGGCGCGGGCCCAGCGCTGCCGGCGGAACAGCGCCACGA